CCGCCACCGCCGCCGCCACCACCGATTCCTATTGGGCATGGCCGTCTCCGGCGCTTCAATCAATAGACGGGACTCCACCTCGCCCGACTCTACCAATTTCCTGCCCTAGCCGCTACTCTACGCCCCCGCTTGCGCCCCCACAGATAACCCTAGAGAGTAGGTCATGGGGGAGGACGGAGAAGAGGTCATGGGGGTGGAAGAAGAGGAGGACATGGAGGCCACGGGAGAGGAAGAAGATGGCCCCCTCATTCCCTAAGTTGGTCTTCGCATCAACTGCGCTCGCTCCGCCTCTGCTTCCAGCGACCACGCCCGCCACAGTCTAGCTGGGTGAGCTTCTTCTCCTGTTATGTTCCTGTACCATTTGGTGGCCTCTCTCCCTTCCCGTTTGAGGAGAGGAGTCAAGTACTGGCTAGGTTTTTGTAAACAGGTTGTTAGTTTCTTCTTGTGGAGTAGATTCTCAGGTCTAGCTAGGTTCCAAATAAATTTTGGGCCAGTCTTGTTATGTTGGTACCTTGCTGTCCTGGAGATTTGGATCTAGCTAGGTTTTTACATAGTATGTATTTGTGATAATTGACTACAACAAGACACTTGAAAGTAAATCTAATTCTAAGAGAATGTCTTGTACAACCTACCATGCATCTGCAATTAACAAGAATGAAACTTCGAACAGGCTATATAGATTTGGCCATTTTCTTTTTTGCATAACTGATTTCCTATGACGTTGTCTGTACTGTTGTTCAAGTAAGTATCAAGAGCAGTACGTACTTGTTTCCTATCAAACTGCATCTACCAAGCACTGTACGTTTCCCTATTCTCCGTTCTCTGCCAAAAACAGAATAAATTTAGGCTTAAGGCCTGTTCGGAGTCCCTCCGGCTCCACGACTCCGCTCCCGGAGCGGACGAAGCAGTAGCTTAAAATGTTGGAGCGAGCAAACAGTACCTCCGCAGATCCTGGTATTTCAAGGAGCGGTGGTTTGCTGAACGGGACCTTACTATCTAACAATAATTCTTCTGTCCATTCGAACTGTTGTGATTTCCAAACTGAATATTTTAGCATATTATTTTCACCAAGCATGATGTGATATTGTAGAGTTTTAGGATGATGTGAAGCTCATGGCTGTCATGAACCGACAAGCTTATAGATTCTCTTTCTCCTGGTCAAGGCAATTGCAATTACTCATGTGGTTATATAATGCAATATCTAGGATGGACCTTTAGCTGCTGAGACCAGCAAATTAGAAAGATGACAAAAACGATCTCATTTTATTTGGATTAATTCCTCGGTTATCATTTTCTGGAATTACTTGCTTTTTAAAAGGACTTTAGAAGGTTCTTGGGTTCAGTCGTGCAGTTATCTGTGTCGCTATTCCTCATCAAAACGGCAGCATTTTATTGTTCTCTCATCACTACTAGGGAAAAGCCTAGCAGTAGCGTGGGTTTTAGATCCACGCTACTGCTAAATTGACTTAGTAGTAGCGCTTCGTCAGAACAGCGCTACTGGTAATTAGTAGTAGCGCTTCTCCTTTCCCGCGCTACTACTATTATTTAGTATTTTATTTCTTTTTTATTTCATATTGTATTCATACACCTTTACACAAGTTTTCATACAACAGGAATTTAGAGATTGTTTTTACATCATAATGAGTTATTACATCACGGGGTGAAAGAACTGTGGACTAGTTTCAAGTGGACGTCCATCCACTTGAGACTAATCCGCGGTTCTTTCACCCAATGATATAATAATATCATCATCATCATCATATCATTAACAACTTATCATCATAATACATCATTGTCATATAACACCTCCTCAAGATCATCATTTTCATCAATGACATCACATAGCAAATTGATCACTAGTCGTAATCACAAGTACTCCTCGTTGTCAACTCTAACACATTAGCACATAATAAACATATTGTACCTCATAGGACCTATTACATTCGATTAAGACCTACTACATTTTCTAAGGTAAAATACCAAAAAACAAGATAGCCCCTGACTCTCCATTATGGAGAATGGAGATTAGCCTGTCTCCAATTCTTGCCTTTCGTTGAATGTTACTTCCAACTTGCGAATGTCCATACATTTCTTCCATTCTTTGATGAACATGTGTTCACGGGTTTTAGAATCCGATATGCACAGGTGAGCTCCGTAGATTTACCTGGCAGTATGTTCAGAACTGAGAGGCGACCATGCAGAGACATCAGATGAGGCACACAATCCATCGGAAGTTTTTGTTGAAAAACATAATAATAACTTCGTAGTTAACAATGATGTACTAGTTTTAGAAGTATGCAAAACATGCATGGATGTCGTAATAGTAAAAAATCTTACCAGGGTATCTCCAGAGAAGTTACCGTGGTTCAACACATGCAGTAGTGGCACATATTCACCATAATTTGGAGGAGCTCGATAATAATTATTGTAATTCTCAAGAAGAGTACAAAATGCGATCAGATGATTTTTCTCCTTATACGTTAATTCGGTGCCATCGGTGTAGTGGGTTTTATCTACCATCTTCCGCACAGTCTTTAAAGAATCAAAATAAGCTGTCAATGGAAATAAGCTATCAACTATTTTCAAATAAACAATATAAATTAGTTAATAACTATGTTTGAGAAACTCACATAGCGATACAATCGGAAGCGTATCAACAAGGACCCAAATGTCCATATTGTCTTGCTCGATGTCAGGATCACCAAGATCCATGGTGACAATCATACCCTCATAAAAACCATACATTTTGCAAAGTGCTTTCCAATTTTGGTAACCAAAATGGGTTACGCTCTAAGCATTGCACAGATTTACTTCAAAACCCATATCATGATGGGTCCTTAGGTGTATTTTCTTTGTTTCGAAATTTTGATGGTCTTCAAAACCCATCCTCTCCAAGACATAGCGTCTTGCATGGCATGTGATAAGCTAGTCGAATTGTAAAATATGAAAATTAGACGTTGAAATAGTTGAAGTCATGCTTAATTACGAAAAAAACACTTGTCGTTGTTGCGTACCGTTTCACAATCGAAGGTCTCCTCGAGCTTAATGCTGAAGGGCCGATCTTCGTCCAGCTGAACGAACCTGTCGCACATACCTCGA